ACTTACAAATCTTGAATTTAGATTTGAATCAAATTCTTCTCATTCATAACAAAGCTTAATTTTAAATCCATGCACCTCCCTTTATCATTTGAAATTCAAGATTTCAAATTTTAGAATTGAAATACATGAATTGAAATGAAATCCTAGTTGCCAAAAACTACATTAGGTAGTCTTTGAAAACTAGAATTCATTTGAAATTTCAGTTTCAATATTTCAAATTCCACAATTTTAAATTCCACATGTTGCTTAAGAAATTATAGAATTTCAATTCTAGAAATTTCGAAAGAGGATTGATATGCATGGAATTATTGTTGCATAAGGGGAGATGAATCTTTATTTGCAAATTGTGAAGTATAAATTATAGAAAAGTTAGGTTTGAAATTGTAAATGACAAACATTCCCACACCCAAGAATCACAAATTAGGAAACCCTAATAAATTTATGGACATCGGCCTAATGATTGCCCTAATAAGTTAACAAATAAATTTTCATATGTATTAGATAGATTTGAATATATTAGTATATATATTCTAAAATTTAATATGACAGTTGAATACATATGAAGAAGATATATCAGTTACTTTATTCAAAATTATTAATTATTTTTTAATGCTAATTAGACTACAACACGTTACTCCACTCAAAATTATTGATTGTATATAAAATGGCCTCTACACAGATTGATTAATTGTTTTTTGATTGGATCAGTCGGATTGATTTTGATTCAAAATTATTTAATTCGGATATCTTCCGGATATATGTTATAATCATTTCGGTTTAGTTCGATTTTAATTGTGAAATTTGCACTAAATAGGACTAAAACATAATGATTTTCCTAATGTAGGACTTAAACTTTTTTATTCCCTAAATAGGACTTAATAATGACCTAGTGGAAGAATAATGTCCAGTAATAATAGACATTTACTTGAATAATGACTACTTGATAATGACCAAAGGTCCAACATTGGGAAATAAAAACATATGATCCTATATTGGAAAAGTCATTATGTTTTAGTCCTATTTAGGTAAATTTCTCAATTTAATTTTATTTCAAATTTAATTCGGTTTCATATTTTAGTTTGATTCTGGACCAGTTCAAAATTTCAGATATGATTAGATATAAATTAGTTCAGACGAATCTCGATTTTGGATATATTTTAACTTCAGATATATTTTGGCTTGAATATATTTCAGTTTCAAATTTATTTCGGATATGTATTATTTTCATACGGAGTATTAAACTTTAAAATTCATTGTTCATTTTTTATGATATCTTCTTTATCAATTTATCATAAATTTATCATCTCACATTATTATTAGATTTTCTAACTCCCCGTCTTTTATATGTGTGTGTGTGTATGTGTGTGTGTGTATGAAATTGTCAAACCGAACCCGAACCGAAAGGATTTCGGGTCGGTCTTCGGTCCGAAGTATTTCAAATTTCGGGTTTCGGTCCGGTCTGGTCATTACCCGACTGCCATTCGGTCCAGACCGAGTCACTAAGATAGACCGATAACTTCCTTGTTTCTAATTTTAAGTGATCCGTTCAATAATCACCACTCAGGCCCAACCTTATCCGTAAAGACCAATCACCAATTCACCATCGTCCATCGTCGATTTGCCTTGTTCGAGAGCAGAGATTCGCCGATTAGCCTTCCTCTTTATCGCCACTCGTCAGCGCCAAATCTCCTCGCAGAGTCCTCAGTCGCGACTCTCGGCCACTGGCCAGCGCCGAATCGGCGAATCCCTCGCCTAAAATACTCAATTGCCGAGAGCCTGAGACGCGGACTCCCTCAATCCTTAGTATCTTTCCTAGTTTTTTTAATTCTTATTTTAGTAGGAATAGAAATTTCCTTGTTGGCTGTATCCTCTTCCTATATAAAGAGGGTTAGATCTTTGTATCCATCAGCAATTCAATATACAGATATATTTTCTCTCTTAATTTCTTCTTCTTCTTCTTCATTATTATTATTATTATTATTATTATTATTATTATTATTATTATTATTATTACTCCCTCTGTCCCCCTAAGATGTTCTCATTTTGACTTTTGGTAGTTTTTAAGGAGAGTTGAAAAAAGGTAAAAGTTTACCCTAATACCCTTAATGAAAATGAGTGGAGTGTATTAAATGAGGTGAGTGAGGTGTAATAAATAAAGTAAGTGGGGGTAGTTGTGGTATTTTAATTGTTAAAAAAAGAAATGAAAAGATCTATTGTGGACAAAGAAAAAGGGCTATTGGGAAGATCTATGGGGGACGGATGGAGTATTATTATTATTATTATTATTATTATTATTATTATTATTATTATTATTATTATTATTATTATTATTATTATTATTATTATTATTATTATTATTATTATTATTATTATTATTATTATTATTATTATTATTATTATTATTATTATTATTATTATTATTATTATTATTATAACTCTTAGATTATTATTATTATTATTGTGTGACTATTACTATTATTATTACTATTATTATTATTATTATATTATTGTTGTTGTTATTATTACTATTACTAGTATTATTATTATTATGGAGTATTATTATTATTACTCACTTCATCATTGTCTTCTGCAGCTATCACTCGCTTCCGTTTTGCCTATTGAGTTGCGTTGGATTATCGCTACACGCACTAGAATAATAATAATAATAATAATAATATCAATAATAATAATAATAGTGATAGTAATAGTAATAGTAATCACAATAATAATAACATTAATAATAATAATAATAATAATAATAATAATAATAATAATAATAATAAGAAAAAGGAAAATCCCCCTAGGTAAGTTTTATGAAATTTTACAGTGCCTTGGAGTATATTTTTAAAAATAACGGAACCTGAAAGTTATTCTTAGAAAATTGGAGTTACCTAACAACAATTTTGGAAAGAAGATGATGAAAAGATAACGGAGAAAATAAATTTGACTGAGGAATGAACGGAATGTCCCTCGGAGTATATTTTATACTCCGTAAAAGATAGGACATGTGAGTTCTTATCACAATATCGAAGGTATCCGACAATAATTTTCTGTTTGTGGCACCTATAATTTTCACAAAGTGGTCTATTCAGAATAATTTAAGGTAGTCTTTGAAAACTTGAATTCATTTGAAATTTGAAATTTCAGTTTCAGTATTTGAAATGCCATAATTTTAAATTCCACATGTTGCTTGGGAAACCATAGAATTTCAATTTTAGAAATTTAAATTTTGAATTTAGCAAAGAAGGTGACGGAAGAGGATTGGTATGCATGAAATTGTTGTTGCATAAGGGGAGATCACTCTTTAATTACAAATTACAAAGTAGAAGTTAAAGAAAAGTTGGGCTTGAAATTGTAAATGACATAGGGAGAGATAGAAATTTGTAAATAAGTTTATTTTGAATTAGAAGAATTTAGTCTAAATCTAAACCAGAACAAGTAATTTAAATCAAATCAGAATTCAAAATCCCAAACACACCAGAAAAGAATTTTATTGGGATGGAGATGGAGAGATTGGAAGAGCAAAAATGAGAACAAAAAAAGACAATTACTTTGTGACAAACATTCCCACACCCAAGAATCACAAATTAGGACACCCTAATAAAATTATGGACATCGGCCTAATTATTGCCCAATAATAGGTTAACAAATAAATTTCCATATGTATTGAGCTGTCTCAAATAGATTTGAATATATTAGCATATATATTCTAAAATATATGTGACAACTCAATACATATGGACATATATGAGTTAATTTAATCAAAAGTATTAATTATTTTTTAATGCAAATTAGACTACAACACGTTACTCCGCTTAGAATTATTGATTGTTTTTTGACAGAAATTAGAACAATTGGATTAATCGGATTGATTTTGATTCAGAACTATTCAATTTAGAAATCTGCCAGATATATGTTATAATCATTTTGGTTTGGTTCGAATTTAATTTTGTTTCGAATTTAATTCGATTTCATACATTTTCATATTTTAGTTTGATTCTGGACCGATTCAGATATCATTAGATATAAATTAGTTTAGACGAATCTCGATTTTGGGTATACTTCAGATATATTTCGATCTGAACATATTTTAGTTTCAAATTTATTTCAGATATGTGTTATTTTCATATACGGAGTACGGAGTATTAAACTTTAAAATTCTGTGTTCATTCTTTATCATATCTTGTTTATCAATTTATCATATACTCCCTCCGTCCCATAAAGTGTTACCCATTTTGACTAAAGTTGAAATTAAGAGAGGGATAATTTTGTGTTGACTTTCCAAAAATACCCTTGATGTGATGGGTAAAAGTAGAATGTGATGTGTAGATTATTAGAAAAAAGGTATGATGTGATAGGTAGGATTTGAAAAAGTAAGGGGTAAAAGTGGTTTTTTAATAGAAATGGGTAAGGGATTGTGGGACGGAGGGAGTATTTATCATCTCACATTATTGTCATTTATTTCTAACTCTTTGACTTCTTTTGAGATTCTTTTCTTTCTCCCCGTCTTTTTAGCTTTTTTAGCCCAATATTTTTAGTTTTAAACTTTTTATTCGCTATTTTATTTAAGGCAGTAAATGGATAATCGAAATTTGGATTATCGTCTGCATCCTTATCCGTTTATACGGAAAATATCCGCATCTATTAAAAACAGTTATTATCCATTCCCGATTAATGTTGGTAATCATACATCTGATCCGTTTATAATCCGCTCAGCATAAACATCCGTTTAAGTAATCGTTTATCCGTATATCCCATCCGTTATATATAATTTTTCCTAATTTTTTATTATTATATTTTTTTCTATAATGAAAAAGTGTATTATATTTCATTTTTTAATATTTCATTTTCTTTTGTAACATTTTCAAAAAAAATTATTTTTTTGAAAATTAAATAAATGAGAAATTTTAATTTAAGAAACAAGGCGTATATTTTATTTTATTTATTTGTAAAAAAATTGCAAATAAAATATTGAAACTTGAAGACAGGGGAAAACAAAGGGCAGAAATGTCATTTTATGTCTAAAAATAGGCAAGAGGGGGCATCCGTGCACTATTTTAAAACCAACTTTTGAAAGTAGAGGTTTTGGCGCTTCTTTTATAAACCACGGGAGGCACCCATGCTTTTACCCCATGATAGATATACAATAACATCATATATCCAAATTTATAACATACAATCTCAAACACGTGCAAAGATGAACTTTAGAAAACCTCACTATTCCTGTTGAACATTTGAGTGGACAAAGCTGGGTTGCGCCGAACCAACAAGGGACAATGTTGCCTCGTGGTCGCTTGTTCCTCCCCTAGAAGTGTTGTAGTAAGTGGTTTCACTTCCCATGGATAAACCGACACTCACTATGCTGCTTACATCATCAAATTTCCAATCGGTGAGATACCCGGGACGCGAAATGTCAGAGCTGACCTCAGCGTCTCCTAGGAGCATTGTCACGGCCCGCGACATAGATGGTCGTAGTGATGGAGATGTTTGCGTGCACAAAAGTGCCACTCCTATCATCTGTTTGACCTCTTCCTCGTTGTACTCCGATAGCCTTGAATCCACGAGTTTATGTGTTTGTTTTTCTTCGTATAGATTCCATGCCTATGTATAGTTGCCAAGAATTGATCAATGGGTAAATCAATTTGCACGCCAGAGTTTGACACCATGTGTTTCAACTCTTGAGTTTGACACCGTGTGTTTCAACTTGATGATCCTTAAATAATACTCTCTCTATTCACATTTAATCGACCGTTATGACTTTCGAGATACATCAAAAATTGAATGAATGTGGACATACGTTATGACTACATTCATTCATTTTTCAATGTACTTAGAAAGTCATAATATTCAGTTAAAAAAGAACGGAGGGGGTAGTACTAGTCATTATTAGAAAAATTGCACAAAAGTATTACCATCATTTCTTACCCAATCAAGAAGATACATTTGTTCTTCCTCCAAGTTGGGATCGGAATTCGGTCTGCCACTTACAATCTCAAGAGCCACGACACCAAAGGCAAAGACATCGATTTTCTCTGTAAGGTGGCCACGCAAGGCATACTCCGGGGCAAGATAACCTCTACAACAACAATTTTATGCAAACAGTACAGACCTTTAATATATCATACTCTCCCTGTCCCAAAATAAACTTCACAGTTTCTTTATTTCCTTTTAACCAAAGGAACATGTGGCTCACATCAGTTCTCTTAATTCTAAACAGATTCAAACCATACATTTTTTTTTGACACTTTTCTTAAGCTCCGTGAAGTCAAACCATGAAGTGTATTTTTTACTTGGCAGAGGGAGTAGATTGACTGTGCAAAAAAAAAGGAACTTACATTGTTCCAGCAACACGTGTGCTTATGTGGGTCTTTGTGTCATCATACAGCTTCGCTAAGCCAAAATCAGATATTTTAGGGACAAGATTGGCATCGAGTAAAATGTTGCTCGACTTCACGTCTCTATGTACAATCCGAAGCCGTGACTCCTCGTGGAGATACGCAAGACCCCTTGCCACACCCAAGCAAATCTCGTAACGGGTTGACCAGTTGATATCCAAGCTCTTACTTCCTGCTCAACCAACCATGTGCACACACCTTATAATCATTAAAAGATCAACCAAGAAATAACCCAAGTCATTATACCGGTCATCTGTGTAAATATATATATATATTTATTTACCAAACAGCGCTTTGTCAAGACTCTTGTTTGGGAGATACTCATACACAAGGAGTCTTTTATTAGCCTCAAGGCAGCATCCGTATAGCTTCACAAGATTACGGTGTTGGACAGAAGATATTGTGGCGATTTCTGCCACAAACTGTGCTTTTCCTTGGTGGGATGTCACTGACAGTTGCTTCACAGCAATATCTCTTCCATCTTGGAGTGTTCCCTATTGATCACATCCATATATGTACGAGGATGAGAAAACCTTTTCCCATTATTATGTACAAATTTAGTCAATAACAGAACTTAATGATACAATTAATCGTTTGGTGTCTGTAGATATACATTGGTTACCTTATAGACCGGTCCAAATCCTCCCTCTCCCAGTTTATTATCAGCACTGAAGTCGTTTGTTGCCAACTTTAGTTCTTCGTAGGTGAAAGTGAAAGGTTTGACATCCATACCTAAGAGCTCTGAAAATCACATAAAGAACTGTTTAAGTTCATTTCTGCTTCGTCTCTACCCTTTTTTTTTCTTTTGATATGTTCAAAGTGGTTGCGTTTCATAAAACTCATAATTGAGTGGAGGCCCATTCAGTTGTCTCAAAATTAGAGATGGGCCAAATCATTCTAAAGCCTTTGTGATTACCTTCATCATCGTCGTAAGCCCGTCTCCTCCTTCGAATAATTATGAAGGCCACCAAAACAGATACAAAACTTAAAATTCCAGCGCCAACTGCGAGCCCCACAATGAGACCAGTCTTGTTCTTCCCATCTCCAGTGGCTGGAGATATGTTACTTACAGTAGGTACAAAATCTGGTGAAGGGATTATTATTCGTTAATTATGTTGAATCTATATGTGAAGAAAATTTAAAATATATATATATACTTTAACCGTCAAAATTAGGTTCAAAAGAAGAAGAAGAAGAAGAAACGTTTCATACTGCATTACCTGGTGTAGCACTGATTGCAGAAATTGCAGGTCCATATGTACCTGGGGTAGGTACACAGCAAGTCCCTTTTCCTGCCCAAAAGAGATGGACTTCAAGGTAATTTTCTGATACACGAGCCTTTAGTGGCAGATCAATAACTTGGGATAAGAGCCCACCCGCCTGCTTTCGTATGTCAAAATCTTTGCGTACAAGAATCCCCTGTAACAAATGGCAACAAAAACAACAACCCATTAAGTTACCGCTAAATATATAGGTAGAGAGGCATGAAACACTTGGCAACCAAGAAAGGAAAAAGCAAGAGCCTTTATAAAAGTTATTAAGACCCAAGAAATAAAGAAAACCCAAGAGGGGAGAGAATTGAAAGTTGGGTTGGAGCTACATAAATGGGAGACAAAGCACATGTGTCAAACAACACTATATGGCCTTAGAAATTCATGTGTTTGTTCACTTTGTTCTTGATGTTAAAAATATACCTGGATGTAGATATCAAATACACGCCTTCCAAGATTTTTCCAAGTGCGGGCATCTTCAAAGGCAGTTTCTGAAAACCGAAGGGTAACGGTATAGTTACCATTCTCAAGGCCAAGACCGTAATACCTTAATGAGGAAGCAGAAAGCCTTGTTGTTTGGTAGAGTCCAGAGTCCAAAGTGTTTGTGAACTGGGAGGGAGTGGAGCTTTGGTAGCGTGGATTGTTGTTTCCAGTGAAGAGTCCGATATTGCTCACTGCCCATCTTTTGGTGTCTGTAACAAAGAACGAAGCGGGACCCACCCTCTCGTTCTCCCTCTCATACTTGATGCCCTGAGAAGTTGTGATTTGAGGACCTCCACAGTTGATTGAGAAGTTATAATCTGTCCAACCAATTTGAAATGTGAATTATTTCTTTACTCAATTCGTGAAGTTAATAAAAGAGACTCGTTTCGGTACTCACAGATTGGTAGGCCTCGATTGCAAGGAAAGTTCCTTTGAAGGCATTCCAAACTGATAGCAACACATGACAAAATTAAGTCACTACCCCTCCAAAACCCTCCACCCAAACATACCCTATGTCCCTAACACTGTTTTTGGTTCAAGGAATATAAAAGGAAAAGAAAAGAAAATGATTCTCTCTCATTTTCCTCACCAAAATGAGAGGAATTTGGTTTTCCATCCACTTATACGTTTTGCATTCTCATTTTCTTTTCCTTCCACTTTTCCTCTCTAACCAAACAATGAAAACTGTTTTCCACTTCATTTTCTTTTCTTTTCCTTTTCAAATTCCTTGAACCAAACATAGTGTGAGTATTCAACAACAACACATACAAAAAAGTACCAATTGATACCTGTTTCGAGAACTTCCTATTGTCAGGTTGTTTCCGATTAGATTACTGCATAAGAACACCACTGTGAATTTCATCTTAAAATAGTAAAAAATACTTTGTATCATTACCATGATAAAATAATATTTTCTTCATGGTTGTTAGATAAAATGGAAAGGATTTTTTAAAGCAAAATGTAAAGACATACAGCTGTAAATTATTCTGATTGACCCATGAAGGAAGACTCCCTGCTAAAAAATTGTAAGATAAATCTCTGCAACCATAAGCATTAGCGATATCAAATAATCATCAACTACTGCTTGAATATCAGTATAAATATTGTCGAATATACTTAAGACTAAAACATGTTTCACATACCAAAACAGGACCTTCAATGTTTTTATGCCAAAATAAGACTTACAATGACAAATCATGCCAACAAACACTGTGAAATGTCAATATACAATGCCAAATTGTGGTGTTTCACAGTGTCAATACTCCTATTTAGGAGATAAAAACATAGGAGGTTTGAATTTGGTATAATTTCCATGTTTTACTCTTAATTAGATAGATTTGTTATATACTTACACATTGAGCAGAGTTGTGCTTTTCTGCCCGGGAAGCCTACCACTCAACTTATTGTTTCCAAGAAATCTGATAATTGAAATTTAAAGATTTCAACAAAACAAAACAAAACTTTCTAATCATGTTGAATGCCTACCGGGAACGGTACATTACAGATAATCAAGTGAAGTCATATTGAAAAGGGAGGCTGGGATCTCCCCGGTTATATTGTTGAAGCTCAAATCTCTGTGCAAATAAATAAATAAAAATCATATAAACATCTGTATCCTCAAAACTCCAAAACATGGTTTAAAAGTATAACCAAACTTACAGTTGGGACAATTTCTGGTATTCATTTAAATTGGACGGAATCGATCCAGTTACGTTGTTATTCCTCAGTACTCTGTCGAGGAGTTAAACAAAATATATAATTCACTTACACGAAAATAATTGAGGGCAAAAAAGAAAAAAAACAACAACAAATGTAGCTCACTCACAGGACAGTTAGATTCTTCATGTTCTTGATAAAGTCAAGAGACGAGCTGCCATTACTTAGCTCACTTATACGCCTACAAGAAACATATATGTAAACTTAAAATTCAGACCTGTGACGATCTGAACATGAGAATGAAAGAAGTGCAGAATGAGATACCCACAACTCAATCATAGCCGAAAGATTGACAAATGTTGGTGGTATATAACCTTGAAAGGAGTTCCCTTGTAACCTCCTACATGATCAGTCATTGGTTTGTGACTATTTAATCACATAAATTAAATCAAAATATGTGACATGTATAGATTGTCTTACAATGTGTTTAGGTTTGACCAATTTCCTATAAAATCGGGTATACTTCCTGTGAGTTCAGTGTCTGATGCATACCTGCAGCAAGAAGGTGGCCTTTTATTGCATGAAAATGAGTGAAAGAGTCGGTCCGGTTATCATATCATGACACCGGCCATTTCCACATCAGCAAGGTCCATATAATTGGAATGAACCTAAGAACCATGAAAGAATTTGCCAACACGTAAAGGAAGATTGATAGTCAAAGGTTCTTACACAGTAATCAATTCCTGTAGATTAGCAAATGTGGGAGGAATCTCGCCGCTAACTCCAGAGCTATCAATATAGCTGTCAACATAATCCTCATTAATTTGTTGGATCACACTACTCCAATTAGTTTTACTTGAAATTTTTTTTGGCATATGGTTGGGAGAGCAAACTTACAGTTGTTGTAATTTCTCTAAATTCCCAAGTTCAGGTGGGAGAGCACCAGAGAAATTATTTTGCGAAATAGACCTACAAAAATGACACAAAAGCAATCAATTAAAACCTAAACTTGTTAGAAGTCCAACTCTCTTTTATAGATAGTTTTGCTATGTGAGTTCTTTAGCACTAAGTGCGCAATTTAATGGGATTAAGAACAGCTTAGAAATACTACGACAACAAAAACAACAAACCCAGTAAAATCCCACAAAAAGTAGGGTCTAGGAAGGGTGTGTGTACGTAGACCTTACCCCCTACTCAGAAGTAGAAAGACCTTAGAAATAAAAGAAATTATATCTAGATTTCCTGAAAACAAAATTGTTGTTTGGTTTAAAACAAAAATAAGAATTAAAATGTTGAGAATGAGGAAGGACTTACAAGGATAACAATTGTGTTAGTTCACCAAGTTCCTTTGGCAGCTCCCCTGAAAGTTGGTTGTTGCCAAAGCTCCTAATACAGTAATACCCAATAAAAAAGTGCACATAGTAGAAAATATAAGAATACATACATACATACATACATACATACATACATATATATACACATACAGACATATATATAGGCACGCATTGAGCAGTTTCACACCTAACAAGCAGTCAGCTTACAGGTATTTCATGCGACTTAGATTTCCAATACGTGGAGACAGCGAGCCTGAGAGGTAATTTTCCCGCAAATCCCTTCAAGAAACATGTGAAACAGCCAACTTGTAAAATTGTATTGTTATAGGATAGCGTTCCAACAAAAACATATGAAGAAGGCTTGACGGGGAGGGCAGTCAGGGCACTCATTGCTGTTTTGAATAAATTTTCCACTTTTCCGTGTTAAATCTTAACTAATTCTAGACAAATAATCTGCACTATAAGGCTCCGTCTACTTGCCCAAAAATAACTAACTTGTCATGAAAATTGTTTCAAACAAGTTGTTTTGCATGTTATATAATGCTGGGTACATTAAAATAGCAAACATCAAGTTATCTAAGGAAGATGACTTGTTTTCTACAAAATTTCATAGAAATACATTCCATTCCGATGCCAAGCATAAATCATTAAAATCTTTCCTCTTGTGGCAAACACAAGAAAATTCAGAGATTCTTTCTCGGAAAATGCCTTCACCTAGAAACAAACGGAGCCTAAGTTTCATATGACGGACCTAAACTAGTCCAGATTAAGGTGATTAAGAAAACATCATACAAATTATAGAGGTAAGTCAACTCCCATAGCTCATCCGGTATCGTACCAACAACATCCAAAGAGAAAACTTTCCTGCAAAAAAAAAACAAAAAAACAATTCAATCTAAAATCTCTCAACAAACTCAAAGAAAATAGGAATAGAATCTGATACTAATTACTAACAATTGGTCAATCCGGCAACGGGTGTTGTTGGCGAAACTACAGACGCATTTGATCAGCGGATTGTACCCAGTGTCAGTGAACAGGATTGAATCTATGGCTGAACCACTGCACGGTTCTCCACTTATGTTCCATTGACTCGTGTCGGCTCTCACTCCCCATTTCGCAAACAGCGTATTCAATGCCCTTGCTGATCATTTCACAATATCCAATTTTTTTTCAAAGCAAAAAAAATCAAGAATCAAGAACACCTTAATAAACCACATCAAGATAATAAAAAAAATGCACAGTTCTATCTCTTCTTCATCTTCTTTTTTTCATTTGAGGAATGGGTTTATAAAGCTTCATAATTTCTAAAGAGTTTTTTTTTTCTATCATTTTTTTTCTATCATGCACCCACCCACCATGGACCTTCAAACCCAAGCACTTTAATAAAATAAATAAATATCCATCCATAAAATACTTTACTCTGGGTATTACTACTTATGTGAGAAGTTCCATGATTTTTAATATGTCATTTCTTAAAGATTGAATGATTACAGCCCAATTTCCTAAAATTACACCCTAAAAATGAACTTTTTTCTTAAAACGAAGTCTTGCTAAAGCTGAGAATCCCCATTTTTTGTGATGAAAAAGCTTACAGAGAAGAAAAAAAACAGAGAGAAGGAGACCTTCATTGGGATATAAAGTGGCTTCAGATTGATTCTGGGCTTGAGTTAAGGCAAAGAAGAAGAAGAAGAAGAAAGCACGGGAAGCCAATACAAGAGCTGAATAGGGTTGTCCACCCATCTCTGTAAGCTCTTTCCCTCTCTTGAGAACCTGCAAAAGCTTGATGAAACAATTCTCTGTCTAAAATTATTTTTTTTCTTCAAACAAGTTGTTTTCTTGATTATTTTTTTCCAAATGGACTTTTAAATTATGTGACGGCGATGTTCCACATCATGATACAGTGTTCAACGGAGTCTTTTAGTTCTGACTCGGCGCTTTATTGGTTTGGAATTTCATACTCCGTAGTAATTTAGCACTCCATGTTTGACAAATTCCCCTTTATTATTTCCTCTATTTCGAGGTAAATCTTCTCATATTTTTTATAAGTTTGTATTTAGAAATTTTATTTTTTGCAAGAGGCCCATTTATTATCCTACAAATGTACTAAAGTTCCTTAAATGGGTATGGATCTTGGATCCACGAAAAAAAATTTGTCTTCACCATAATAATTAGCATCTTACATATAGAAATCATCTTAAATAGGACTAAAACATAGAGAAAAATATCAAAATAAGACTTTCATGTTTTTTTCCCAGAATAGGACTTTACATTGTACTAATGTGACTTTGCATTATGGTAATGTGGCAGTGTACATGTACAAATTACTATACTTTCTTGGTAATGTATATGATCATGTTTGGTAATGTATGTCCTATTTCAGGAATAAAAACATGAAAGTCCTATTTTAGTATATTTTCAATGTTTTAGTCCTACTTTGGTCTTTCTCTCTTTTACATGGTGCTACACACAAGATTAAATAAAATTTTGTCGGTTCTGCAATATTTTTCAAGGTTCTATTCCTTTAACTTTAAACTCTTAAAATTTATTCAGTTGGCAGAAAAAAATATGTTTTTCAAAAAAACTTATTTAGTTGGAAGAAAAAAATTACGAAAAAAGCAAACCCCCCCCCCCTTTGGCACTACCCGGTCCACTCCTTCCCAAACCTTAGAAAATTAATCTATTAAATAGAAATTTGATGCAGTTCGTATATAAAAATAAACTATGATACCTAAAATACCTTTTAAGTTGTCTCAAAAGATCTTAACTTTTTATTCAAATATCAATCCTTTAATATAATATTCCAGACTCGGATCACCAGAGCTTGACATGTGGAATACTTACGTGGAGTTTTTTTGACACGTCAATGATGACTGAGTCCATTAATTGAATCTAAAATCATTCATAAAAAAAGTCTTTATATATAGTAACTTTTGAATAATCATTGACCATTTTAAACAAATAATTTATGGTAACTTTTAAAACTTGACAATTATATACTAGTATTTGATAAGTTTGCACTAATATATTTCATATTAAAAAATTACTTTCTTTAATTTTTTTTAACTTATATTTCATTTATTTGACGATTTTAATCTCTTTTTACTTCTTTAATATGCTCACTATATTGTCACATATCACATTCAAAATTATTTGTGTGACCCAGAACCATTCTAATTTTTTTTATTGTTTTAAGATTAAATAACATGACAAAAGAAACAAATACGGAGTCTATGACATGTTTTAAATATTTGTTGATCATTTTTAGCAAATAATTTATTATAATCTTTAGAAATTGATATTTAAATATTTGATTAGTTTAAATCAGTATATTTTATATTATAAAAATGTTATGGACTTTTGAATTCAAAGAAAATCAAGTAAATGGATGAATATAAAAATATAATTTTTCAAAAAAAATTAAGTGAATTATTCATTATAAAAGACACTAAAACTGATATAAAAGTTTTTAAGTACAATATGAAATGTTTTTAAATTATTAATTTATTCTTTTTTATGAGAATTTATTTAGCAAAAATATGGTTGTAATTCAACAAAAAATGTGTACATAACTAAATTGAATTTAGTTTAAAAATGACTAATCTAATATAACTAAAAATAAGTTAAAAAATGAAATTGATTAAATTTTCAAAATAGGTGTTTCTACTAAGGTATTTTTCCAAATCAGTTCTCAATAAGCAATAATTATGTACGTAGTCTTTTCTAATTTAATATTTTCCAAAATGGTCTTTTCTTGTCACATGGAAACTTTGTTTATAATAATTGACCATTTTTAGAAAATAGTTTATGGTAAATTTTAAAACTTGATATTTATACATTTGAGTCTACCTCCTTTATTATATTAAAAGATTATTGAATATAATTTAGAAACAAATGTGTCACCATGACTTCTTATGTTTACACAAGCATTCCTTACTGCCGTTTCACCATCATTGACAAATTTTAAATATGGAATAGAGATCTTCATTTTTATTAGAGTATTCTTTCTTAATATTATATTTTTTACTTCAATTATAATAATACTTTGAGTAAGTTTTATATTTTTTATGATATGCCGAAATGAAGATAGTTTTTACTCTATTTATTTAAACATTGATGAAAAATAAAAAAATATATTTTAATCTCTATTTTAAAATTATATAAAAAAAGAAATGCTTTGACTTGTATTTAAAATAATCAAGTATTTAAATTAAATAAATACTCCCTCCGTCCATAATTAATGTTCTCGGTTTGACCGAGCACGCATATTAAGGAAAGATGTAAATGTCATTGACTTTCCAATTTTACCCCACCACATTGCTCTTGTTGGGGAAGAACCGTGGCTGCGTGGACCACCATACCACCACAAATTTTGATTTGAAGCTATAGTTTAGGTTCTGGCAAAGTCCATTTCCAAAGAAGAAGAAATTGAATGGGAGGAGAATGAGAAATCGAATATGAAAGAAAACAAAGAGAAGAAAGAGAAAGAAGAAATCAAATTAAATTCATCAAGGAAGAAAAATCAGATCTGAAAAGAAATAGAGAGGAAGAGAAAATCTAAGCGAAACCGGGACGACTCCAGCTTCCCTTTCTTGAATCCGGTAGAGGACGAGACTAGAAGCTAGCGGCGGCGATGCGGGAGGATAGAGGAGGCGGCGATAATGTAGACCAACGAGACTGGAGGTGGCGACGAGACTAGAGGCTCGAGACGGCAACGATGATGGGGACTGCACAGTCGATATTGAAGACCGACCAGGCTGGAGGCAGCGGCGATGATGGAGTCTGGAGGACGCAGCGGCGCAGATGTAGGGCAAAATATATCTACGATTGATGAAGGAGGTCAAGAAGTTGGGTTTTATGGAAAGGGTAAATATGACATTTAATCTAAAATTATTTGCCAAAAAAGGAAATGAGAACTTTAATTGTCGACATCCAAAAAAGGAAAGTGAGATCTTTAATTATGGACGGAGGGAGTATTTAATATGAATTTTGTATTTTATGTTGGTAATTCAACTTACTATTTTAATCAAAATAAGTTTGTATTTTAACTTACCATTTTCTTAAGGTGTAACTTAATATTTGTAAATTTATACTACCTCCGTCCCGCTATATTCGTCCACTTTTGACTTTTGGAACTATTCATCTGAGCACTTTGACTCATCAAAATTCTCTCAATGTGTAAGCTTAAAAATAGTCATGTGTGATCTTGTTTGATTCGTCTTAACATATAGATTATTAATATATAATTTCTACTCCCTCCGTCCAAAAAAGAACTTCCCACTTTCCTTTTTCGTCCGTCCACAAAAAAACTTCTCATTTCTATTTTAAGAAAGTTTTATAAGGTAAAAAAACTCAAATACCCTTCCCACCCACTTCTTTTCTTTTTCCTTCCCTGCTGGTTTCGTCCCACTTTCCTTTTCTTCTTCTTCTTTTCTTCTTTTTTTCTTCTTCCTCTCTTTCTTTCTTTTCTTCTTCTCTCCCTTCCGATTTATTTCTGCCACCCTCTCTTTTTTTTTCTTTTTTCTTTCTTCTTCTCTCTTTTTTTCTTCCTCTCCCTTCTGTTTTTGTCCAACCAATCACTCCATCTTCTTTTTCTTCTTTCTTCTTCCTCTACTTTTTCTTCCGATTTCTTTGTCTTTCTTCTTCAATCTTTTTCTCTTCTTCCTTCTTTCTTCTTATTCCTTCTCCCCCACTACTAGATCCGGCTAGATCTAGATCTGCACGAACCCCCACTACTAGATCCGACTAGATCTAGATCTGCACGAAAGTGACAATTTATATTTCTCAGATCTGCGATGGGCAAGTCCAAAAATAGATCTCTGCGTTAGGATGGAAGGAGGTTGCAGGTCTGTGACGGCGGCAGTGGGAGTGGGAGGGGGGTTGCGATGACAGGAGGTTGTGGAGGGGGAGGGGCGGTGACATGAACGTCGGCAGTGGCGCTCGAGAGTGGTCGGCGGTGACAAGAACGTCGGCAGTGGCGCTGGAGAGTGGTCGGAGGTGAAGTGCCGTTGGGTTGGCAACACCCGTAGATGGTTCATGGGGCTGGAGAGGGAAAATAGGGCTGAGGGGTATAATGGGAAAGTCAACACAATTTTCATCACACATAAATTTGCGTGCCGGGTCAAACCGGGAAGTTCTTTTTTGGACGGAGGGAGTATAATTTTTTGATATACAAATTACAAGATAAAATGGATTTAAAAAGTGTATTGGATGGTGTGTAAAAATGAAAGTAGAAAAATATAGTGGGATGGAGGGAGTATTGTGTAAGTATTCACTATATTTATGCATATCCATGAAGATAAAAAAATTTGAATGAGAGGGGACTCACTTCATTCCTACACTTTCATTTGCATAATTGTACATAGAAACGACATACCATAGTGTTTTATGAGACAGAGAAAGATGACACAAATGTATGAAAAAAATAGTGACAAGGAAGATCAAGATGCGGAGGTGAGTGCTAGAAGGTCTGTGAAAAATGAAGATGAGTGTAAAGGCAATAAATAAAGTAAGAAAAATTGCGGAGAAGATCCAAGGTGCAAAAATGAATAAGATCAAAACTTGGATACAAATTAAAGCACATCAAAGAGAAATATAATTTCCATTTTGCAACTATTTATATTTTGTTAGAACATTTTGTATTGATCAGAATGCTACTATGCATTTGAATGATTTTGCATTTTAAAAAAAAAACTAATAAAAAGAATAAAAAATAGTAATTTTCTTTAAATTTCCCTTTAGAAATCAACCAAAAATAGAAGTAAAAAATATTACAAAATAAGAGTCACATGTTTTTATATACAAAATGGTACTATTGCAATATAATGTGACACTGTATATTGACATTTCATTGTAATTTTTGTATTATATGTTGGTCTTATTGATATTATAGTTCTTATTTTGC